AAAAAGACGTTCCACCCGTGAAGCTCTTTTAGAATGGAAAATGCTCTTTTAGTGTGCTGAAGTGCACAGGGGAGAGTGCAACCCACTCGACACGGGAAAACCACCGCCGCTGAAGCACCGTCCACCAGCACGAGAGCCCACAAAGAGCGTGCTTGACTTGTAGTCTTTATTCGCTACTCGTAGAAGGTCAGGAGCAGAATGATAGAACCGCTTGGCTCCGAAGCGAAAAGCTGAATATGCGCTGCATCTGCTGCTTACTTATACTCACGCTGTGATCAGCAGCAGCTGGATGCAATAATCGCATGCCAATGTGCATTGGCTCGTTTAGTTTACACTCGAAGTGGATTGGTCTCTCTAAGCGAGATCCCAACTTCGTCTGTCATCCAACGTGACGTCGAGAGTGACCGACTGAAAGGGAACTGAACACCTCAAAGTTACAAAAAAAAAAATAAATCTTTCAAAAAGTCTCTTCAGTATAATGGATAAATAAAATAATGTTAAGTAAAATTAAAAAGTCGAAGCCTTCTTGCACTGGATGTGCTGGTTTCTGCCTCATTGCCGGCTGCAGTCATGTCCGCATCTCATAAAACACCTGTGATTCACAAATACTTGCTAAGGAACTCGCATTCACATAGAGTAGCCTTGCTGACAAGTTTGGGTGAGTAAGGGCAAAACGCACAAGATGCAGTACTTTCAGTGACCTGTAATAGGCAGTATCACGTCTTTTGCAGCAGAAATAAACTGCTGCAGAAAAAGCTAGGTCCATGCAAAATGTAATGTGTAACTGCAACACTAATTTCAAATGTAGTGAAGTAAAGAGTACAGACACTCATGCAATAATGTAGTGAAGTAGAGAGTAAAAGTTGCTAATATCTTTGATACTCAGTACAACTACAAAGTACCCGAAAAGATACTCAAGTACAGTAACTAATTACATTTACTCCAATACTTTAAACCTCTGGAAAAAATGGATATAAAATGGAAACTTTTGCTTTGGTCTCCTAAATTCGCAGATGTTTCTTCTGAGAAAAAAAAAAGATTGTTAAAATATTTAAATTTTTAAAATCGTTTTATTTATTTGATCAAATAAATAACATAATACTAATATAATTAAGTTATTTTTATTGGACATACTTGCTTCTTTTGAAAATCCATAGGCCTTACCATAATTGTGTTTTAAAAATATAACTTGAATTGAAGGACAGAATTATGGCCAATGGTGTCAAAGTCTCATGCTGTATTTTATTTCATATTGCAGATGAAACTACCAGTGCTGTTGTTGGGTCGGTCAGCTGATCTGAGACCAGGCGAGTTTGTGGTTGCTATCGGCAGTCCGTTCTCCCTTCAGAACACAGTGACTACAGGCATCGTCAGCACCACCCAGAGAGGCGGCAAAGAGCTGGGCCTGCGTAACTCTGACATGGACTACATCCAGACAGATGCCATCATCAATGTGAGCCCAAACACAGTTACTCATACACTGCATACACACAGTCGTTGTTGCTGATTCTCAGTTTTGTTTGTTTTTATTAATTAAAATTAAATTTTTTAAATTATATATATATATATATATATAAATAAACTAAATATATATAAATAAACTAAAACTGCCCGGTCCTGCAGATTTGCTTTTTAGGAAGATAGGAAGATCAGGCCCTTTCTTTCAGAACATGCAACACAACTCCTTGTTCAAGCTCTTGTTCTATCCAGGCTGGACTATTGCAATGCTCT